ATATGTTTTTTTAAACAAGTATATGTTTTTAATATTCCTCTAAAAGATCTATACAAATATTTTTCTGTAATATTTACATTATCTTTTTTTTGTTTTGCAAGGTTTTTTCCCATATTGTATTTCTATAATATTTATAGAGGTTGACTGTATTCGATATCATCAAGTCATTGTGAATTCCATGATCCTTTCCTTAGCTGCTTTGCCAGGGATCTATACAGTTTTTGAATTCAGAGTTTTCCTTCTCCTATACTGATTGCCAACCATGGCTACAGAGCTCAGACTGCACTACTATTTAACTCATAGTTAGAGGTTTTGAATTCAGAGTTGTTCTTCTCCTAGACCAGATGCACCTAAGGACCCAGTCTGTACTGCTATTTACACATAGCTAGTGGGGATAAGAGACTAATTCATAGCTTTCACAAGAGTATTTGCATATTAATTGAATGTAATAAACCCAACTAGAATTAAAACTCTGCTCTCAAAGTCCTCAATTCAAGCCACACTCCATTACTACACCATGCCTCTAATATTTACAACTGTCTATATTATCAACATTATTCTGTAATGTCTACGTGTAAGACTTACAATATTGCTATAATTTTACTGCTTTCTGTAATATTTCCATTATACTCTACAGACACTGTAATAATCATACTTATTATAAAACCCAGGTTGTGTGTGTGTGTGTGTATGTCTGTTCGTTTATATATTGGATCAGATTTCCTACATTTTTCAACCGATTTCAACAAAACTTCACAGGACTACATAAAATTACCTTGTGGTGGTTCTGACAGCGCCAAAAATTGGAAAAACACAATTGTTTTTGTATGAAATCAATTTGAAAACACAATTAAGAGGCATTAATGAAAGGGGGACAACTCATATTGAGTTATACTTATTATAAAACCCAGGTTGTTTGTGTGTGTGTGTTCATTTATATATGGGATCGGATTTTCTACATTTTTCAACTGATTTCAACAAAACATCACTTTTTTTTTTGACAGGTAGTGTTTCTTATTGTCTTGCACACTTTTTTCTTTATTTTTACATTCAGAATGCTTTAAAAATTCCATTTACAAGACAATTGTTTATAATAAAATTCTATTCAATCGGTAGACTCATGACGATTGAAAACAATGTTTTTGTTTGAGTTTGGGTTTGACCAATTCGTAAAAAAAAAATCTAATTAATACATGTGTGTCCGTCAACCTTAAACAATAATCTTTGTCAATTTTATTTTTCAGTCTTTATGATGGTCGATACTTGATCTATCACTTACTGTTACATCCCCGGGCAACGCAGGGCTCTACTGCTAGTATATTATATTTTTGTAATATTGTAATGTTTTGTAATATTTACAGCTTAAATATGTTTCCATAATATTTGTATTTCTAAAAAATTTATATTTTCTCTAAGATTTTCTATGTTGTAAAGTAATTTATTACTGTAATATTAATATCTTCTATTATACTTTGTGCAATATATACACATTCTAAAATTTTCTATAATAATCCCACCTGTAATTATTTTCTGCAATATTTACACGTTTTTTGTTATCTATATTATTTTATTTCTGCAAAAATTTATATTTTCTGTAATATTGTTTCTATTATCTCCGTCTATAAAAGGCAGGATGTGTGTGCATGTGTAATGAATGCACAGCCGAAATTTTTGACATATGACAAAATTTACATGCACAAAGTTAGCGGGAAAGCCAAGACTGACTTTGCATTTCCCAACTCCCATCGATAGTGGAAATAATCAATTTTTTCATTCTTCTACGGCATTTTCATGTAGTTTGCAGCCATTTTCTACTGGCCAGAGTGAGAGCTAATAGCTGGCTGTCACAAATAGGCAGGAAGATTCTATTGGCCAGCATGAGAGCCAACAGCTGACTGACATGAATGTTAACTGGCATGCAAAAAAAAATCGATAGCTGCATTCGTCACAAGTGGGAAAAATTTAAATCTGCATGGCACATTACTCCAATTGGCTCATTCGCTTGCTTAAACTCAACGTTGATTCTGATTCCGCAGAACTGGGTTGGGTGTGAAAAAAGTATTTGTTGTTATTCTTTTTTCATTCAGTTTTTCCAGTTACGAGTCCTTTTTTAAAGCTGATCGTTTTGTGTTCATTTTGTTTAGTTCTTTTTTTGTAACAGATTTAATGCTTAGTATAGAGCTTAGAAAAAATTTGCAGTGAGAGATAGGCAAGAAGTAAGGCATGTAGCAACATCAGCATGGCAAAGGGCACTCCTTTAAAGGCAAGGAAGGGCAAAAATATTTTAAGTCAAGTGATAGCGATTGCTGTATGAGTCGTACGATTTTTGAATCAAGCACGGGCAATGCCAGGTCATGCTGCTATTAGAGTAATATATTTCTGTAATATTTACACCACTTGTAATGTTTTTTTATAATATTTATACTTTCTGTAACGTTTTTTTCTACAATATTTACACCTACTGTAATGTTTTTCTGCAATATTTACATTTTCTGTAATAGTTACTGCTTAAATATAATGTTATTTGCAATATTGTATTTCTGAAAAAAAATTATATTTCCGGTAATATAGAGTAATATATTTCTGTAATACTTACACCTTAATATTTACACCTATGTTTTTCTGCAATATTTACAGCTTATGTATAAATTTTTACTGTAATATTGTGTTTTTATACTTACAGTTTTAACTGCCAACATATAAAATGCTCACTTTGTTTCACATGATAATTTTTGTAAACTTTAAGTTATGATTATTGATTACCAATATGAACACTCATGTTATTGATTTTTCAAATTCTAGAAGGTAAATAGCCTCTGCCCAATATTCATTCTTTATATCAAACTCTTTTGCAGTTTTGGCTTGAATTTTGAAAACACAGTTTTGTTACTATCATACAGACCAATTTCCTCATCTCTGTCTTTATTTTAACATTTTGGTCACAATACCCTCTTGTCCTTTATCATCTGTCACTTTGACCAGATGAAAATATCAAATAGAAGCTGTTATTTCACTCACAGGAAAATGTTCTCAATTGTTATGACAGGTTTTTATTTCTGGAAGTTTACCAAATGTGAGGGGAGAAAGAGCAGAGAGGCAGGCGTTAGTTCATTCAAAACATTTCAAAAAAGACAACAAAGGTGAGGAAGCTTATCAAAATGAATGTTTGGCATTTTAAAAATACTTATTCTTATTATCAGGAAGGAATTAAAGTTCTGTCTGATTTTATTGTGTATATTACAAATGAAGATACTAAATGTTTATAGAAATATTTAATCAATATAATCTTTTACTGAGTCAATCTATGATTCATAATTTGAGCTTCCCATCATTAATGGTATTTGGCGTTTACTTATAAGGAAACATTTGGCATTCAGTGACCAAGCAGTCAATGTGACTAGATTTGCATTTTTCTTCACTCTCTAGCCATCAGGCATGGATCAAAGTATAGTATCTGTTCTCATCTCTAATGGTAATATTAGCTGTTTCCTTATAAGGAAACATTTGGCATTCATTGACCAAGCAGCCAGTGTCACTTTCAGTTGAAACCTACAAAATCTTTTTCTTAAAACATTTTTTTCAAGAAAATAGGCTTCTTAAGTCTAGTAGCTCTTTCCTGTATTGATGGGGATTTCCTTCCTAACCTTCTGTTTTAAGTAGGGGGGAACGTCTTCAAGTTACATGTAATATCCATATTGCATATGTTGATCAGTTAAGATCAATCTATATGCAGATTTAAAATGTTTTATATTTCAAAATGTCTTCTCGGACAAATATGTAATGTTCTAGTAAATGATTTTAAAGCAGAATATTTTTTGTTTTGAACCTATCAGTCAAAATTGCACCTTTGTCTTTCAGCATGGAATTGGACTACAGGTTATTATATTTCCAATTTTACACCTGAAGGGTGAACCTCAGTAAAACAGAAAGAACAGTTTTTGAAAATTTTATATTAATATTAAAGGAAAAATAATAAAAATGATTATATCAGAATAATAGTAAGTTTCTATAGTCTGTGCACCAGACAAATATGATGACGGGCTGAGTTTGACCTGCTGGTAAAAGTTTGCTGATATAAACATTAGGATATAAAACCTGAAAGGTTAGGCAGTGTCATTTTCCATGACGATTTTTGTTCTTTCTTTATTTCAAATTATTTATTTTCTTGATTTGAATAAAACAAAATGAAAAGAAAAAAAACATACGGGACAATTTCCTCAAAGACTTTAAGTGACAGATATGGTTCTACCAATAAATACTAAGAATAAATACCATGAGTAAAACATGTGGGCAACAAGGAAGTACTAAGGAAAATAGGAACAAAAAAGAAACATAATGGATACAGTTACAATCAGAAAGAGAGAGCTGAAAATTCTGAAACACATAGTGAGGAAAGGAGGCCTAAAGAATTTAACACTGACAGGAGATGCTGATGGCAAGAGAAGCAGAGAAAACCACAATTTATTTAAGTTTACATGAATGACTAAAAGAATAAGGACAAAAAGGGATAGTTGTTGTAAAGTAGTTTCACCGTGGAGGCTTGTATTTCACTAAGTCGGTCCTAAAATAGGTTCGACGTACAAAACGTTAGGAACTTGATATAATAGTTAATGATGCAGCAATCTAGTTGTGGTGGCTGATATTTTAATATCCGACTAGCGGTCGTCCGACATCGACTGACTGACCAACTATGCGACTGACTCACTGAGCGACTGCTACTACTCCTACTTATTATAGGTGGGAGAGTCTATTAACAATAGAATAGGTGTGTTTCACTATAACAATAGTAAATAGTGAAAAATTACTTAGAGCAATAAAAGATTGTGAAGAGCCATGAATAGTCTTGGTACATAAAAGAAGAAAATTTAAGATTTGTAAAATATATAATTAACCACCCTTTAATCTCTCAAATTTTCAGTTAGCATATTTAGCATGCGGACAACAAGAACAATGAAAAAATCTAAAGGAAATGTTGTTTCAAAATACAATATTTTAAGGCTTACAGCCACATCATGTTGAAACATTGGTTCCCATATGTTCACCAAAGTTAAGAAACACTGAACCTGATTAGTACCTAAATGGGTGACCACTTGGGAATATCAGGTGATGTAAGCTTGGATGTTCAGATGGAATAATGGATAACAGTTTAGAATTGTTAATCAAAGAGCAAAGATCCAACACCTGTTGGGTTCATTACATTCATTCACATACCAGAGCAGGACCCATAATATTAGATTCTTTGGATTTTATCAAGAATCTCTAAATATATAGCAAGAACATCAGACCATATGTGGCAGCGATATTCTAAGCATGAACTAATTGTTGACTTATAAATATATAAGATAGATTCTGGTGAGAAAAATTGTCAAACATGAAATAGTGAACCAACTTTTTTTAAGAGCAGACTTAGCAACTGATTTAATATAATCTTTACAATGAAGATTTCTTGGCTCGACCAGGAAAGTACTCCAAAATATATTCTGATGCTTATTTACTTAGATTTTAGGAAGTGCATGAGGCTAAGAACTTTTCAGCACCTCCTCATGTGTATACATGTTTGTTATATAAACATGTCATGCTGCCAAGAAGTTAAGGAAATGCAAATAGGAAGAGGAGGAGGCAACATTAAACAAATTGTATTTCCGGCACCAGATGCAAACACCTGTAAAATTTATGGAAGCAAATAAAGTTACAAAATAAGAAATTCCCAATTTAAAATAAACACACATTGTTTTTTTTCTTTAACTTTTCTCCTTAAAATTATTTTGTGACTGAGACAGTAAATACAGAAATCCTTAACTGGGAGGAAAGAACTAATAGTATATTAACACATTCACTGCTGCAGTATTATAGTATTGTTACCATTTTGGGAAAAACAGGAAATTGCCATTTACTGGAAATAAATGGCTCTAAAGATGCCGATTTCTCATGGTCAACACCATTTTGGTTTCAATAGGGTACTATGCAGTACAGACTAAGCTAAATGACATCCCCAGCCATATTATAAAAATACATCATAAAATAGGTCATATTGTATGCTACTAATGTTTATACTATTTAAGAAATCACATTAAGCTAGTTTATAATACAAATTATAAATATAAATGCTAAGGACCAACATTTCATAGTGTCTTGAAAACAGACAATGAAGATTTTGTAAAGCCATATAAGTATATCATGAAAATGCATATCTATATCAACAGCAAGCAATGTATGTTTCATAAAAATGTATAAGTATATTTTGAAAATATATAAAGAAAACAGAGGTAATCCACCAGCTAAATATAGATTTAGATAAATATTATGGATTAAAGTGTTGAGTATCAGAGATAGGGCGTATGTAAATATAGAACAGACATGGCCTAACGCTTCCATTTTAGCATGAAACAGACTGTTGCCACTGGATGTTGACATCAATGCCCATGTGCATATGTGTGAGAATGTGTGTTCTATGAGAATCTCATCCGCCCAACTATGGTGTCATGTTATTCTCAGCATCTTTATAGAACAACAGAAACCTGTTTTCCTAAGAAATTGTTTAAGAGAAAGATTTTATAATTTTCAATTGAAAGCAGTACTGGCTACAGAATGTTTCCTTGCAGGGAAACAGCTAACATTGCTATTACCATCAAAATTGCATCAAGTCTGCTCTTCATTTGTGAGAAATTTGTCCAGCATTCACTGTCATATAGGAGGATTGATATTATGCAGCAGTTCAGCACTCTTTGCTTTGTCTCTAACAACATTTTCCTGTTTCTTAATAATTGGCTGTGGTTTTGGAAGAAATTTTTTTACTATTCCAATGTGCCTTCTGATTCTGATGTCACTTTTTCCATCTTCTACTTCACATTTTCTAAATGGGCATCAAACAAATAGAATGCTAATTTACACATGCACAACTTCACCCTCTAATGACTAATCACAACAGTGTTCTTTGCTTTTTTTTAATCATTCCATCAGAAGCAAGGCAATAAAGCCACTAAGACACAAGGAGTTACTGAGTGCTAGGAAATATGAGTAAAAGAAAACATTATTGAGAGAAAACAATAAAAGGAATTAAGAATACAGAAGATAACGATTGATATTGCATTTAAATTTTTGAAGGTCAAAGTTGACTGGGAAGCAAGAAGCCAAAATAGAGTTCCATGAGCAAAACTGTTAGCATCAAATTTACAGTTACTTCTAACCATTTCAACTGTAAAATGATGAGACCTTTCCACCAATCTAGTACTGAGTTTAAATTTATAAAGTCTATGCACCAAAGAGAAAATTCATCAGAACGATTATCATGAAAGTATTTATAGAAAAGGCACAGGGAAGCTACATTATGGTGGTGGCAAAGTGATGGAACCTGAGATGCCAGGTCAGTATCAATAAAATTGCAGATTCTTATTTGTAGTTTATCAATAATTTCTAAATACATAGCAGAATTTATATAACTCTTGATTTTCAGTTCAAGGAAAAGAAGTTAGAAATACTCAGAGAGATAGTTTAGTAACACACTATTATATCATTAAATCTTGGTAAGTGACATTTGTTAACTATAACACACCCATCTATATTACCTTTGGATAAGAATAATATTTGCTCAACAAGAGAAAAATGGTGTTAAGTGCTTCCTGATTGGCTGAACTCAGGGTTTGGCCAATTCCAGCCCACCATGATATTTCATTTGGCTCAAAGACCATAGAGAATAGTTGCTATTTTTAAATACTATTTTTTTTTCTTTTAATATTATAAAGAATAAAATAAAAATTATCCTTTTTAAATGTGTTATTACAGCCATTTTGTCAGATGTATAATTAGAACTGATCAATTTGCAGTCCAATAAGACCAGCATACAAAAATAGAAAGTTTAATGCCTTCCAGACAATGAATGTTTTACTTTAAAATCTTTTGCCCCAAAATTAATTTTAACATTAGGCAAAAACAATGAATACAATTCTTTTAGCTTCTACCAAAACGTTGATAATAACAACAACAAAATGAGGATATTAGTCAAAATGTCAATAAGACATTCTTTTAGCAGCATTCATGTTAAAATTTAAGAATCAATATAAATTATATAATTTTTCTTCCTTTTTCTATTAACCTCTGACCTTCAAAATAGGCAGATTGGGACAATTATTCTTTTTAGGAAAAAACCCACCCAGGATACTCTTATTCCATTCACCCCTTTTATTAAATATTCAAATATTAAAATGAAATGTTTTGTGATGTCAACAAATACTTGTTGTCACTTTCCTAATGCTCGTTGTAGTAGAGACTTTGTAATTGCAGATACAACTATAGTACGCTGTTGAACAATACTGGTGTCAGACACCTCTGAATAATCTCGCACTAATAGTATTTGCCTGATAATACTCACTCGAATAGTAATCTGTATAGTGATCCAAATAGAGAAATAGTATAGTGGACAAAGTAGAGAATAGACTAGAAATAATGATCATTAGTCATCAGCTACTTCCTACATATATGCATTTCCTCTATGGTAACATGGTCAACTTAATTCAATAATGGGTCTGTGTTTTCTCACTGACAATCTATGTTCAAACTCAAGTGTTGACAATAACACTTTATTCCTATATAAACAAAATGTATTGTCCTAGAAAATTTACAGCCTAAATTTTGGCATGAGAGAAAATTTCTTGAATATAAAAGGGGTGGTTAGAATAACGATGTCCATGGTGGATTTTTCTCTAAAAAAAATAAAAATAAATTAATTAATTAATCCAGCTCAGCTATTTATTATTATTATATACTTATAGTTAATAATTGAACACAAATCAATAATATCTCACAAAACAAATAAGACTTAACATGTTTAAGGTGGGTAAATTTTTAAACATATTTAGCTTATGGCCATATCACATTAAAATACCAGTTCCCATATGATCACTGATGTTAAGCAATGTCGAGCCTGGCTAGTACCTAGATGGGTGACCACTTGGGAATAGCAGGTTCTATAAGATCGGTGGTGTAGATGGCATAATGGATAACAGCTGAGAATTGGAAATCATGAAATAAAGTTCCAACTCCAGCCTGCTTTGTTACATTCACTTACATGTAAATACACTTAGGAAAGGCATGAATCCAACTCTCCTCACAGTTACGAGTTAATTAGTAGGACTTGTATCAGAAAAATATTACTATCTCCAAAAAAATTATTACAATCTAAAAATGTTTTCCAGTTTTAAATAACCTGCAAAAGGTTGATAAGTTGTAAAAAAACAAATCAATCAATCAACATCTTTAAAAGTGAGCAGATTTTTTAATGTTTAAAGGTGAGTGGATTTTTGTGAATAAAGTTTTAAAGCAACAATAGTTCAAAGATACAGAAAGGTTCAAAGGACTTATGTGTGAAACAAAGTTGTTTGTAAAAATAAGTCCTTTGAAATTTTATACTTAAAAGGTATAGAATTTAAATTGCATTAGAGTTTTTTTTTTGGGGGGGGTTTAGGGGGGGGGGCAGAGGGAAAATGTTTAAAAACTTATTGAAAATATTTTGTTATCTAGTTTTATCTATATATGGAATTATTTTTTCTATATAAATAAATGTGAATGTCAGTGTGTCACACTTTTTCAACTTTACTCCTAGAAGCCATAGCCTGACATATCATACCATTTTGGAAACAGGCTGACTCGGGAGCAAATTAAAAAAAATTCCAGGCTGGATCTGAACCTTCAATCCTGAAGTTTTGGGCTCCCAAATTTTCAATACTGTGATTGTTTTCAATGATTTTTTTACATGTTTTTTTTTGTAACAAATTTTTTTGTACAATAGCAATATTTCAACTTGAAAATAAATTTTAGAATAATTGAAATTAATTGCAAAAGTCAGCCATGAAATAAAAATAATTGTTTGTACAGAAAGTAAGGACGTACCCACATAAAATTGCCTTTGAATTAAATGGTATCAGAATAATTATTATTGAATTTCTAAAAGGTAAGCTTAAATATTAATGCAATTAATGCAAGTCAGAACATTATCATTGATAATTCTCTCCTCCAATTTGCTGACCCTAGTTACTATATTTGATATAATGCAAAAATATCACAATGATAAAATTGATAAATAATTATTTATAACTATTTATACTGGGCCACATGCAATTACAAGTAATCCATAATAATATTTAAGATTTTGAAATCATATTTTTGGCATATGAATTTTTTGAAACTGTTTCTAAATCTTTGATTGTCTTTCAATCATTCCACCTCCCCTGCTATTCTCTTCCGCCGCACATATGATGCATGCTGCATTGTTTGGGAATCACTGCTCTAGAAGGACTTCATAAGACTAAAGTAATGTTTTTATTGATGGAATTATGTGTAAAAATTTCAGATAGAGTACATCTATAAAAGGACAATATGAAAAAAGAGAAAGGAAAACTTATCTTAGCCAATGTATTTCATTCTTTGAGAGTCTTTATCAAGGCAAATGTGAGTCTCTCAGAGGACAAAACACGTCAGCTAAGTTTTCCTTTTGTTTGTTTTTTTCAATCATATATGTGTATGAAGGGTGGAGAGATATAAAAACACAAGCATCTGTTATAATTATTTACCAATATAAAATACTGAAGATATTGGAATGCTAAAATTTAAAATTAATTTTTTTTTCAGACATGTTTGGTCAGATGTTTAGCCACTTTCATTTAGGCTTTCATCTTGTTTATTAAGTATCCTACATTGTGATAATACAAGATCTTCCAAGAAAAGTGAAATGTTGTAAGAACCTGGATGCAAATTTACTCGCAATCAAAGCACTTTCTATACATTTTCACCTTAGTAATTTGCTTTTTCTTTTAATTAAAGCAGCATTTTTTAAATTGAAATCCATGTCCAGATATCTTCAGCATTGTGAGTTGTGCATAATTATAAATGATACTTGTGTTTATATATCTCTAATAATGGTAGCTACAAAGGGATTATCAAAATCAGATCAAACAACCAAGCATCAGTTTTTTTTTTTTTTTTAAAGGATTTTTGGTTAAGCTTTGGTTTCCACAAATCAAGGATTGAGAATAAAGAAAGTAAAAACAAAAATTATTTTTCAATATTACTGATATCTCCAAAATTTATTTTAATAAGGTACAAATAATTGCTTGGACTCCCTACACAAAAGTAATGGTTAACAAGTCTCACTTCTTTACCACCATTCCATCTTAAATTACTTCACTAGTTTGGTGAAAACTCAAACATGGTGCACTATTAGTTTGCTAACCTCAGTAAAGTGTGATTAAGTATTTGGCAAGCTTTAATTAAAAGACAGCAACTATGGTTGTTAGCAAAAGGGATCACCTAAGATTTGAGCTACAAGCTGGCAATGTCAGAAATTTATCTATCTGGGAAGTGTTTTAGTAGATGATAAAAAATGTTACACAAAGATCTGAAGACAAATTGGAAAAACAAAAGATACGTTTCAAAATAGATACAAAGTATTAAGAAACAGGAAAATTTCATTAGAAACAAAGAAAAGTGTGCTAAATATCCATCATCTTATATGGCAGTGAATACTGCACAATTTCCTCACAGATCGAGAGGAAACTTGAGACAGAAGGATGTGGTTCTGCAGAAGGATGCTGAGAATACAATGGATGGAGCATGTAAGCAACAAGCAAATTTTAAGGAATATGGAAACAAAAAGGACACTTATACTTGAATTGAAAAGAGACTGTTGAAATATTTGGGACACATAATGAGAAAAGAAAGCTTGGAGAATATAATACTCACAAGACATACTGGAGAACGAAGGGGGAAACAACAAGTGACCAGCCTAACAAGCTTGGGTAAATAGATGGCAGAAACTGAAGGGATGGTAAGAAAACAAACATTGCTTAGATCAACAAATAATAGGAAGTTGTGGAGAGCCATGATCAACATACTTAACAAGCTTGTGTAAATTGATAGCAGAATGGGGACTGGGAAGGATAGTAAGGGGACAAACATTGTTTATAAGGATAGGAAGTTGTGGAGAGCCATGATCAATCTACCTAACTAGCTTGTGTAAATGGATGGCAAAACAGAGACAGGGAGGGATATTTAGGGGACAAACATTGCTTAGAAGCACACAGAAGAGGAAGTTGTGGAGAGCCATTATTTTCCACATCCTGAAGTATCACGGCACATAAAAGAAGCTTAAATTGTCACAAGTGTGAGTCACCTAATAATATTTGAATTTACCTCAGTAGTAATGGTCTGTGAGATTAGCTTATTAAGCATTGCTTGAAGGTTAAGTATTTATTTATTTACTAACTTGAAATAAGTGTGGCAAAAGGCTAAGTATGTCGAGCACCCAGTAATGATTGAGTAGTAATGGTTTCCAAAACTAGCTTGCTAATCACTTCTTAATAAGAAAGTGTCCATTGATAAGTCTATCATTCCTCTATGCATTGAATATTGCTGCCATATCTGGTCTGGTGCTTCTGCTATATATTTAGAGATTTTTGTTAAAATACAAAGAATATGCAATGTTATTATGTCTGACCTGGCATCTCAGCTTCAGTTACTTTCACACTAGTGTAACATAGCTTCTTGATACATTTTCTATAAATACTTCTATGGTTCTGATGAATTTTCCTCTATGGTACATAGATTTTATGAATTTAAGCGCAGTACTAGATTTGTGGAAATGTCTCACCATTTTACAATTGATATATTTCTTCTCTCACACTTCTTGCTTGTGGAACTCTCTTCTGGACTCTTGCTTTCCAGTCAACTTTGATCTTCAAAAATTTAAATGCAATGTCAATCATTATCTTCTGTCTTCTTAATTCTTGTTATTTTATTGTTTTCTTTCCTTAATGTTTTTTTTTCTCATATTCTCTTACATTCAGTAACCGCTTACATCTTATTTGCTTTATTGCCTTGCTTGGGGAAAAAGAAAATATCTTGTACATTTCTTAAGATGTATCCATTTATTTACTAAATTTAGAATGGCACAAGACTACAAATGTAGAGCAATCAGTCATGAATGAACTCACCATAGTAGTAATTACTCCATTACTATTGACCCACTTTCCACCAAATCAGGAAAAATATTTTCTGTTAACAATTAAGGGAGAAAAAAATTGAAAATTCATATTTAACAAAACAAATGACTTTCTTAAATTTGTGTTTAAAGATTTAAATGAGGGAAATTATTCATGGGGAAATGAAATAAAACCTTTGAAGAATCTTACATATGCCTTATAAAATCCAAAAAATTCATTTTAACTGTTACAAAATTTTCAAGAGAGAACAAAAAAATTTGAAAAGTTTTAAAATAAAATAAAACATCACAAATTTATACTTGCTATTGTTCTGTTTTTTGCTACAACAATGTTCTGACCAAACCATTCTTCAGCCTTCCTCAGGTGTACAATCTATCATGGTTTTTACTTGGGATGAATAGTTATTCCTTTACAAAAACAAACTCACTGCATTAGACATTTTACATAATGAATCTAAGCATAAGATTGTTTCATTTTCTACAGCTTAACCCATTGCAGGTTATTTAAAGTAAGAAAATATTTTTAGATTGTAAGAACTTTTTTATTTGAGATAATAATGATTTAATGTACAAGTTTTACTAATTAACCCATAGTTGGGGGAAGAAGAGGTGGATTCATACCTTTCCAAATAGTATTTACACATAGGTGAATATAACAAGCCTGACTGAAATTGGAACTTCACTCTCCAATTAATAATTCCAAGCCATTATCCATTATATCACTCATACATCAAAGCCTATAGTACTTGGTATTCCCAAGTTTTTACCCATCTAGGTGCTGACCAGGTTATATTGCTTAACCTTGGCAATTGTGTGGGAACTGATGTTTTTATGTGATATAGCTGTAAGCCAAAAAATATTGCTTTAATTAAAAGAAAAATTAATCTACCATGGTGAAAATTTATAGAAAGTGCACTGATTTCTGAGTTTTCAGCAGCAAATTTTCATCCAGGTTTTTACAATATCACCTT